CAACATGTCGGTTCTCTGAACCATTCATCTACAAACAAAGTAGTATTGATAAAACAATTATTATTATTATTTTCTGGTTGGGTTCATACTATGTTAGTTACGTTTTTCCTCAGTATTCGTATTAAAATTATCACAAAGCCTTTTTCACAAGTGTGTGTGTGTATATATATATATATATATATATATATATATATATATATATATATATATATATATATATATTTTTTTTTTTTTTTTTATTATCACACCGGCCGATTCCCCCCAAGGCAGGGTGGCCCGAAAAAGAAAAACTTTCACCATCATTCACTCCATCACTGTCTTGCCAGAAGGTGCTTTACACTACAGTTTTTAAACTGCAACATTAACACCCCTCCTTCAGAGTGCAGGCACTGTACTTCCCATCTCCAGGACTCAAGTCCGGCCTGCCGGTTTCCCTGAATCCCTTCATAAATGTTACTTTGCTCACACTCCAACAGCACGTCAAGTATTAAAAACCATTTGTCTCCATTCACTCCTATCAAACACGCTCACGCATGCCTGCTGGAAGTCCAAGCCCCTCGCACACAAAACCTCCTTTACCCCCTCCCTCCAACCCTTCCTAGGCCGACCCCTACCCCGCCTTCCTTCCACTACAGACTGATACACTCTTGAAGTCATTCTGTTTCGCTCCATTCTCTCTACATGTCCGAACCACCTCAACAACCCTTCCTCAGCCCTCTGGACAACAGTTTTGGTAATCCCGCACCTCCTCCTAACTTCCAAACTACGAATTCTCTGCATTTATTCACACCACACATTGCCCTCAGACATGACATCTCCACTGCCTCCAGCCTTCTCCTCGCTGCAACATTCATCACCCACGCTTCACACCCATATAAGAGCGTTGGTAAAACTATACTCTCATACATTCCCCTCTTTGCCTCCAAGGACAAAGTTCTTTGTCTCCACAGACTCCTAAGTGCACCACTCACTCTTTTTCCCTCATCAATTCTATGATTCACCTCATCTTTCATAGACCCATCCGCTGACACGTCCACTCCCAAATATCTGAATACGTTCACCTCCTCCATACTCTCTCCCTCCAATCTGATATTCAATCTTTCATCACCTAATCTTTTTGTTATCCTCATAACCTTACTCTTTCCTGTATTCACCTTTAATTTTCTTCTTTTGCACACCCTACCAAATTCATCCACCAATGAGAGTGAGAAATATAAAAGAGTGCTCTTTTCTTCTCACCTTGCCGTGAATCTTAGCCAAAAGTGTTTCTTCCCATGCAAATTCAGGTCCACACAGCAAAATCAATATGAACAACGAAATAAAGACGCAACATGGCACAAATACATTGTAATGTTACTCTTCTCTGGTGAAAATCATTATAGTCGAGCAAGATACATTTCTCTGGTTGGCTTCCTGATGTTATCGGTACCAGGAACTGATTGTTGTATACAGGCTGAGAGGTGTTATTGTACCTCGGTTAATTTCACAGCCCAGCCTTGTCTAAGGTATATCATCATTCTGTCAGGATGTAAGTTTATTTTGGCACGGGTACACGTAAGTGAAATTATTATACATAGTGTCAATTACGTAGGATAACCCAAAAAAGTCGGACAAAAGTGTACGTCAGTTTATATAGGCATAGGTACACATACGTGCAATGATCATGCATAGTGTAAGTTGCCTAGAATAGCCCATAAATGTCAGGAAAAATACTTTTTTTTCCTACCCACAATAGTCTACTAGCGCCCTAGTACCTATTTACTTCTAGGTAAAAAAATTAGGCGACACATATATTAAGAAATTTGTCTAGTCCGAGATTAAACCCGATTAGTCTATTCAACTAAGATTATTTTTCTTCCCAGATTATCTTTCTATTAGCCTGCTAGGAAGCAGCTAGGTTGATGTGACCTTCAGTCAGCATCCAGCACTCTCCTTTCTGAAGGCCTCGTAAGAACTATTTTAAGCACTACAGGCTCAGAAGGTCGCAAATCGTGCCCAGTTCTTACTATGGAGAGCCTTACGTGTTTTAGTCTGGATACTTCTGCCTCGCATACATGATAGCCAAGTGACGCATGGAAGTTAGAGAGAGAGAGAGAGAGAGAGAGAGAGATTAATTAGATTTTGTTACCGAAGTGGCTAGTTTATTATGCACCCCCATATCCATCCTCTGGATGGTAGTGTAAGAGCATATGGATACACAAAAGGCCTAGGAACTAGGCCCAGAAAGGGTTAACAGGAGAGAGAGAGAGAGAGAGAGAGAGAGAGAGGAAGAGAGAGAGAGAGAGAGAGAGAGAGAGAGAGAGAGAGAGAGAGAGAGAGAGAGAGATACACTGCTTTATCTGCGATCCAAGATGCTACCAAGCAAGACTAACACCCAGCAGAATCCCAGTCAAGCTGCGCCATTCGTTAGGACTACTGAACAGGAACTTGCTCTTGAATCCAGACAGTCCACCTCTCGAGGCCACAGATCCACATGAAGCCACCTAACTTTCAACACTAAAACTAAAAGACACGAATAACCAGCGTGTTATTACAAGGAGCAGCTGTCTGGTGCCCTTGGTGTGAGAGGCATGACTAGCACTCGCACACCCACGCACACCGAGGGTAAACATCAGGCAAACTGGCCTCTCCTTCAGCCTCGGGCGCCACTTTTACAGAGTCATTGCAACGAACAGAAGCAGTAATGAAGGACTATGAACTATCATGGCTTGGGCTAGGAACTACCATAGCTTGGGTCAGGAGCTACCACACTGGGCCAGGAGTTACCATACTGGGCCAGGAGTTACCCTACTGGACCAGGAACTACCATATTGGGCCAGGAACTACCATACTGAGCCAGGAGTTGCCATACTGGACCAGGAACTATCATAGTGGGCCAGGAACTACCATACTGGGCCAGAAACTACCATACTGGGCCAGGAACTACCATACTAGGGCAAGGACTACTATACTGAGCCAGGAACTACCATACTGGGCAAAGAACTACCATGTAATTGGTTATTTTTTATTGGTCGGTAAACGAGAAAATATATACATATAAAGACACCTGTGCTCAGTTTCGCCTGGCGAAATGTTTCCTCAGTGTCTCCATTCTCATTGGTTGGCAGCGCACTCACTTCACACACTGAGGTCCGTGGTTAGATCCCCGGTACAGGTGGAAACATTTGGGCGTGTTTCCTTACACTTGCTGTCCTTGTTCACCTAGCAGTAAGTAGGTACCTGGGAGTTGGTCACTTTACACCTGCTGTCCCTGTTCACCTAGCAGTTAGTAGGTACCTGGGTGTTACCCGACTGGTGTGGGTCGCACCCTGGGGACAAAATTACCCTAATTTCCCGAAATGCTCTATATAACAAGGGGCTTCTATACTATGTCATTGATATCAGCTATGGTATGTATATGTTGTGATTATAATTATTATTTAAACGAAAAAATCTCTTATTGCGAGCCATTGTCACTGTCGCAGGACATATACAGTGACCTGGATGTGCCACACTGCACCAAACACTTGTATACTTTATTTGAGGTGTTTAACTTGTTCGGGATCATTCAGCACCCCTCAAGGAAGGTTCCTTGATGTTGGTGAGGGACTCTTGATTTAGGGAATTGGATCTGTGCTCCGGTTCCCCGAATTAAGCCTGAATGCCTTCCACATCATTACCCCCCCAGGCGCTGTATAACCCTCCGGGTTTAGCGCTTCCCCCTTGATTATAATAATAATAATAATAATCGGGATCATTCAGTGCGAGATGTGAAGGTTCTATCCTCCGTCCATTAATCTCGAGACAAGCGCACCACCTAACTGTACTCATCTACCCACCTTGCAATGTGCGGAACTTATAAATGTTTCAGATGGGCACCGTGACACCTTTATCCACCACAACGTGGACAGAACCTGCCATAACTCGGGGCTTGATTATCACTACTTGGAAAAGACCCGTCATTCGATTATTACATCAAGAGCGCTTACGATTGCTTGAACAGCCGTACAGTATGTACAAAGTTTGTTATTTCTTGGTTATAACCTACGCTTGCATGGGAAAAACTTAAGCAACGGGAGGCCATGTCCGAGACCGAGCAGCAGGGAAGATGACACTCAAAATCAACGGCAGTTAGATTCCAGGTGATGATGAGAACAAAACTGAACAATGAGGAAAAAATGCCACTGGCATTACTCAATATGAGAAGTATCATTGGTCCCAGTATGAGAAGTATCATTGGTAATACCCAGTATGAGGAGCACCATTGGTAATACCCGGTATGAGAAGTATCATTGGTAATACCCAGTATGAGAAGTATCATTGGTAATACCAAGTATGAGAAGTATCATTGGTAATACCCGGTGTGAGAAGTATCATTGGTAATAATCAGTATGAGAAGTATCATTGGTAATACCCGGTGTGAGAAGTATCATTGGTAATAATCAGTATGAGAAGTATCATTTGTAATACCCAGTATGAGAAGTATCATTGGTAATACCCAGTATGAGAAGTATCATTGGTAATACCCAGTATGAGAAGTATCATTGGTAATACCCAGTATGAGGAGCACCAATAATAATATCTTTATTTCTACAAGTACAAGGTATAGAGTCCTAGCTGACATCAGTGACATATTGCTATATAGAAAGATGTTTGTTATGCACAACATTTCAATTTTGTCCCGGGATGCAACCCACACCAGTCGACTAACATTCAGGTACCTATTTTATTGATGGGTGAATATAGACAACAGATTTAAGGAAATACGCCCATTGTTTTTACCCTGGCCGGG